CAGCTCATGTCTGTTCCATCTCTTCCTTCCTCCGTCTCCAGGAGATGTGGTGAGACTGCTTGCAGTCACATCCTACTAGGAGGATGAAGAGTAAGGAGCCAAAAGTGGATTCCAGTCCCTCTTCCTACTGAGCAATGAGTAGAGTTGAGTTGTGTTGGGAAAAGTGTCCCCATATGGAATAAATGTTTGGAAAAACTTTCATCCAGGTGCACTCCCACCTTGGAGGAGGAAGTTCCCACCAAAATTGGGTAGGCTAGTGAGAAGTAGAAAGGTAGGTGACCACAAACCTCTTGTCCAGCAGGTTTAATAGTAAACAAATACCTTATTTAGGAGTTCTTGTGGTATCAGCTCTTGTTCTTTTGTAGAAGCAAATTATCATGCTGTGTGTGCCCTGGATACTAAGACTATTGACCTGATAATTAATATTCAAGCAAACTGTATGTTTTCTGGTTTTGTTTAAAATCAGCAGTGAAGACTTGTTCTTTTCCTCTGATGTTTTTAAAAAGTCAAAAAGTGAAATATTTCTAAAAATCTGATAGTAACAAAAAGGATGGAGGCCTGCTCGATAGTTGCTTTAAAATGATTTAGGAAATTTGGGTAGATTTGGCTCCTGTCTTGAGCTTAGATAGACTGACAGTCTTCTGTGCATCTTCTAGAGCTCCAGATAGGCACAGAAGTTCCTGGTATTTGTCAGTGCTTTTTCATAAATATTTCTCTGAAAAACCAGATTGCATCTGTTTTGAGCTAGATTGGATGTTGCATCTGAATCTACACCAGATTGCATCTGTTTTGAGGTAGGTTGGATGTTACATCTGAATCTACGGTCACTGGTTCATGTGGGGTGTGTCAGATTCCAGGGCAAACTGGGTGCATGTAACTGCACTATGACACAGCTCCCAGTGGTGTCCTGGTGACCTTGCAAACACTGCCAGGATGCTAAAACTGCTTTATGCCAGGGTAGCAGAACTTTGTCATAAGAGTAATTTTAGGATAATCTGTGGTCATGCATTTCTTTTCCTTCAAAAGTACTGTGGTTAAATTAAACCACAAATTTGCAACTGCTGGAAACATGAAACAGTTAGGTAGGATCTGTGTACTTTTATTTGCTTTATAACTGTTTTCTGGTGTTTCAATTTGCAGTGACTCACAGCTGCATTCCAGGCAGAAAGGAGGTGGTTGGAGACAGGCTTTTCCTGTATCTATAAAACCAGTCTGCTCTATCTTTTCTTTGCCAACTTGCAATCAGTTTCAGTTTAGTTTTCAGATAACGGACTGTGTAATAAAGGTTATATTTAATAAGCATAGTATAATTTGTGTTTTCCTCAGTAAGGCCTTTCAAAATTTTTTTTTGTTACTGATTTCCTTTTGAATGCTGTCTGCTTCCCTTCAAGAAATTCAGTAATTTCTTCTTTAATTAATAACTGAAAACTGGAAGCTTGCTGGCCCCATGATGTGGTGTTAGATGTGGTTAGGAAGGAGGTGCAACCTGTGAACCCACCCTCCATATCAGCTGGAGCTGATGGAAAAGGAAGTGTTCAGCAGTTGAACTGACACTCCTTCAACTTGTTCCTTGAAAAGAGGTCCTAACCCTTCCAAAGGAGAAGGTTATACTAATAAGCATAGCTGCTTCTAGGAACACCCTGAAATATATTTGTTAATGGAAATGTTTTAAGTAATTGAATACATGCTACTTCAGAATTGTCAAACCTCCAGATTTTTTCTCAGATTTTTTTTGCCCTGCTCAAGGGAAGAAAGCATATAGCCTCATAATGCAAGACTGAGCCTAGACTCAATCCCTGGCTACAGAGGAGGGATTCTCTCTGAGCAATGATGAAGCTGATGTTTCTGCTTTTGGAAAAATGCATTTTTTTTTTGTTCTGTTGCACTGTCTAATCTTTCCTGCCTGTAAACTCTGCAGACCAACTACAATAGAAGACTCTTATTATTATTACAGTAGTTCTTTTAATAATAAAAATGTAAATTACTTTCTTTCAAACTGTCAGTCAAAGATCATGGCAATTCTCTGTTTCTGTGGTACATTTAATCCATTATAGGTTGGCCTTCTTGTTGATTAGATTAACTTTTGATCTTATGATACTGATTTATTGCACTTTTCTCTCTTCCCTTTGCAAAATGAATTATCTGGTATTTTGTAAAGCCAACTAATGCCATTTCTCAGGAGTGAATTTATTCAGATGAATCCTTGCATAATGGTATAATTGATTTTGGAAAAAGCATTCTGTTTATGTAAGAGTAACATTTTCTGTAAGTTAAGCCTGAAAGTGTGTTACTGTAGCCTTATTTCAAGATATTTGAGTTTTTAACTGGAAGTAAAACTCTGGAAGGTGTTTTGGGAATAGTTGTAAGCTGCTGATCCCATGACCTCTGTTTTGCTGTAGGAAGCTTGGAGTCACTTTTTGAGCAGCTGACCATTTTCAAAGCTTTCACAAGAGAAAGATGAAAGCTACAAGAAAAAATGGCTTTTAGCTCAGACGAGGCAGCACTATCATTTTATGCTTAATGTAGCTAGGGAAATGTGTGAAATACTGCTGAATTTAAAATATTTTTTCAACCTAATTTCTGAAATGAGGAGCTTCCATTTTATTCAGTCTGTGTGAGATTGAGCAAATGGCCACTTCAAGTTTGCTCTCAAGCTCATCTAAGTGCATTGAAGCATTCTTTCCTGTGAAGGGTCAGTCTCACTTTTGTTTAAGGCCAGCAGAAGTATTTCTATAAAAAACATTTGTATACCTTGTTATTTTCTACAAAGGCTTATTTTCTCTGAAGTTGCTAAATCTCTGTTCTTGTCTCTTAATTTCTTCAAAACTTGTATTAATGTTGATTTCTCTGGTTTAGCAGGATATCAACAAAGATAGCAGCAGTGGATTTTACAGGTTCATAATACAAATGTATTCTCCAGAGGCTAATGGTTTAGATCCTGTAATAGAATATGCAGCCAGTGAGAGAGAGAACGCTGAAGAGCAAGGAAAATATAGTAAAACAAAAGCAAGAAAGCTGTTTGTAGCTGATTATTTGCCCAGCCTTTGTCATGTACAGCTACAGTGGGCATTGCAGTGGTACAGAGTCCTTAAGAGCTGGGTCTAGAAGTGGCTTTATGCACTTGTGCAGAGAAGTCCTGCTCTTATGCATGAGGACATTGGCTTCAGTTTGGAAGCCAATGACAGATGCTGGCTTTGCCACACACTGACAGGGTGAAGGAGGATACCTGTGTCACTGAAACACAAATCAGAAGTGACAGCTGAATGCAACATTTGGTTTTTGCATTGGAGATGGTGGTGGTTTTATTATTTTGTTTAAAATTATGCAAAAGACATGTGGCAAAAACCTTGTTTGAAACTCAGACACTCATGTGGATTCTTCCCTGTTCAAAATGCCAGCAAGCTGCTGTGGTGCCTCTGCAACTTTATACAGATTGAAGAGCTTGTCTTCAGTTGGAGAGGTTGCCTTCCTTCTTTTCTGGATGATCACCAGTACTGTCTGCCACAAGTACTTGAAGGGTCTATGTTCCAGCCCTCAGACAGGAAAAAGTGTCATTGAGTCAGAATACTGAAGGTATAAGTAGATGATAAAGGTTTGGGGATTGAAAGCATGAAATGTGCATTCCAGGTAGTGCAGAGAGAATGGTACTGAATAAGGGATATACACTAGGAAGGGGAGAGGATGACTAGCAGTAAGAAACAGAATGCCAGGCCAAGTATTCAGGCACTGAGTCCAGTGTTTGTGCTTCTTAATGTGAAAGGATCAGGGAATGGCCTTGGACTGAACTTCTGTGTGTCCATGCTCCTTAACTATTGCTGCATTCCTTGCATTGGGCTACCTTCACCAGCTTTTATCCACACAAATCTGCTGTAGGGAAAGGGAATCTTAGCAGCATGGGTGCAACTTAAGGCCAGGGTTTCATCTTCACTCTCTTCTATAGCCCAGGACAGACATCCTCATAGAGCAGGAGGTTGTATTAAGTAGTCACAAGAGATAGGGAAGTCTCTGGCTAGAGTTTTGGTCCTGTGCGAAAAGAGCAAAGGTTGAATCTGGAAAATCTTAGAAAAGGGGTGGCAAAAGAATTTTGTGTGATTTGAGGTAAAAATGATACCCATGTTAGAGCTGTGTCTAATTAGCAGGGTGGATTTTAGCATCCTTTAATATAAAGGGTGGAGGGGAGAGTAATGAAAATGAAAGGCTCAATTTTGGCTATGATAATTTTCAGAAGATAACTGGGCACTGCTGGCATGCCAGATTTGGTCAATAACAAAATGTGTTTTGCATTACTGTATATGCACTGTAAAAGTGATGCTGAGTTTTTGTCAGTGGTAGTGGTTACATTTTGAAGTATAATGGAATGAATTAACAAGAAGAATGCAGTTGGTATTCATGTTTGCCTTTATTTTCTTAGTGTGTTGAAGGATAATATCTTGGCCCAAGTCCTGATAAATGATGTGATGGTAAGGAGTTGAAGACTGTGTAATAGCAGATACTGTGAATGCTAGCAACATGATTGAACATTTTACATGTGGGTTTTTTTAAATTGTTGTTTGATATAGTTTTATTGATACTTGTCTTACAATTTATATTGCATAATAGATTTTATTGTTATAATGTTTAAAACATGTAGGTGTTAATTTATAACACACTTCTGTGATATAATTTTTAACAATAGTGGTGCAGATACTTGCTTAATATTTAAAATACTAATTACAACTCCAACACAACATTTCTGTGTCAGACTGTGGACAATCCATGTCCTTCAATTTCTACAGCATATAGAGATAACATAATGGGGAGAATTATGCACACAAATTTACTTGAATGACTACTAGTCTGGATTCTCTGGCAGTTGAAAGACCTTAGCTATGTAGCTCTTCTTTAATCTTCAGACTTCTGGAATTACTTGCACAGACTGGCTTGCTTTGGTTGAAGTTGGAATGGTGTGACTGCCTATGCATAAAACTAACTTTTCCTGTGGTGTTTTTGGTGTGTTTCAGGGGAAGGTCCACCTGGAGCTGAGACTGAGTGAAGTCATAACAGACACTGGTGTTGTCTGCCATAAGCTCGCAACACGGTAGGACTTGAAATGTAGCTGTGAAGTTATGAGAAACATACTGATTGCAAATAGTGTGCAGTGCTTCGTTTAAAAATAGTTGGAGGAATCAACACATTTATTTGGACATTGAATGTTCTTAATCAGAAATATCCTTATGGATTTATAGGGTGTGAGATTTTTTTTCATTTTCCCTTCTCCTTCTCTCCACATAATCTATGTAATTTTCTTCCTAATAGTCTTAAATGTTAATAAATCCCTTATCCAATTTAGTCATGGCATAAATACTAAAAAGACATCAAAGGGTAATATTTGTCCTTCTAATTTTCATTAAGGACCTTACCAGCTAAGTAAATTTGTAGCACAACTTGTGTGGTGAAAGTGTTACAGAGCTGACTTAAAACAAAAGTCTGCTATCACTTACTAAGGCAGCCTCGGAAACTGCCATCCAGTCTCATTCAAGTGGAAACAGAGATGCTACAGGACTCAAATGGCAGTAAAGATTTTTCTGTCCTCTGAGGACGAGTCTGAAAGACTACTGGTCTCTGGCCACCGAAGCCTTTCAGGTTACCTCAGAAGTAGTGGCAGAGCTGGTTGGCTTCTGTGAGGAATGCTTTATGTTCTCTGGCAGAAGAGCTGTCAAAATCAGACTGCTGGCATCATACACTTCTAGCTGTTTGGCATTCATGTCAGTATGATAAATGCTCTGCTAGGAGGAAAGTTCTGACCAGCCCAGTTTTCAGGCCAGTATTTAATATAATTTTGTTGCTGTGTTTGCTAAGGCTTTGTCCTGGTAGTCTTTATGTCTAGGACTTTTTAACAAATGTAGGTGACCCATATGGTGACCTCCATCACTGTAGGCCCACTCTTGATATGAGGATGTGCTGGGGTAAGTGGTCCTGCCTGCCTGTGCATACACCCTTGGCCACAGGTCCTACCAGAGCTCTACAGCAGGTACATTCAAACACTTTGTCTCTGCAGTCTGCTGTGATGAGGCAGAGTGAATACCAGGGAATAGTCTGCTGCAAGTTGCTCTGTAGGCTGTGGCCCCAGTGAACTTGTTAACCAGGGCACAATGCTGCTGAAACACAACTGTACCTCTTTGAGAACAAAAATTGCCACATCAGTATAGCTGTGCACCACCTGGAGGGCCCAGCCTTCCCTAACTGCTACCTGAGGACTCTCATGTCATTTTCTATTGCACAATTTAAATATGACCAACTGATGATGATCACACACATTCTGAGAAGCCAGAGCTCAAACCTGTATCTACCAAATCTTAGGCTGGCATCTTTTGTTTAAATGTTGTTTATATTGCTATTGGTCCTAAGGCTTTGTGGGATGGGGGAACTAGAAGGTGTGAAAAGGCAGAGAGGGTGTATGTGTGTGGGACATACAGGACAGTGGGTTTATCACTGAGCTTGGACTCTCCTTGAAGCAAGCCTGGAGGGATAGTGTCCTTAGAAAGGGAAAAGGAGCACAGTTGTCCTGATTACCGCATTAAGTTTTGTTTGCTTTGGCCTTTCTAAATGTGTGTGGCCTTTCTGATGTGTGTACTGCACTCCTTAGATGTGATACAGCCACAGAGCCTCTGTCCATATCCTTTGAACCCTAATTGTGGGTTGAGATCCTGTGATGTCCGTGACTCTGCAAACATAGATTAACTGAAATGCCCTTCTGCTCTCGTCTGTTTGGAATTGTTAGGTGATGTACTGAAGGACCTTCAGAAGTGTTTGCCTCTGTTTTATTCTGAGAGCATGTCATACCACAGCCAGATGGAAATGTTTTGTCTTCAGTTAAGTGTGACCTGGTAACATTACAGTTCCAGTGGATTTTTCAGTGAACTTCCTGAAATGCTAGAAATAGGTGTAATAGGACTCTGAAAAAGTCCTTATTAGTATGTAATACATGCAGCTTCTTGCTTCATGAATAGCAGTAAGTCAATGACTACTTTAACAGTGTGATTTTCTAGCTTTCTATTCATTTGGTTGACACCTTTAAAATACTTACTCAAATTTTTGCTTATATATTCTTGATTTGAAGACTATTTCATTAACTTTCTACAATGCAGAGAAAAAAAACTTTGATTGGTTTGTGAAGCATTCTGTAACCATGATTTGCTAGGCATTGTTCAGTGTATTAGCTACAGTGTGTAGGAAAATCATGAGGTTTTAACCTCTGAATCATAATGAGCCCAGGTGTCTTAGAAACGAAATTTGAGAATCAGAGCTCAAGCAAGCTTTTATGTGCTGAAACTGTCTTTTCCCATTGTCACCTTCTCTTCAGTATCTGACCTGGACACTGTCTTTTTCTAGTTTCCACATTTATTTGTTATTTGAATGGTAAGTGACAGTAGAGTTTAGCAGTTCAAATAAGCAAATCAGGAAAAAAGAATGTTTCTAGAGTATGTAGCTCCAGTGATGCAGGTTTTCATGGGAATGTGTCTTAGCTGCAAGGAAGAAGAAGAGAATGATGAAGGGGAATGATTACATCAGGGGAAAAAAGCACTTCAGAATGTAGTCCAGCTTTTTCTTCATGCCACACTGATTGCTTCAGGAAGGTTTACAGCAAACTGCAGCTCTTAACATTTTTCCACATGATGTGAAATCTCTTTCAGGTTTGCTCATAGACATCTTGGTTCTAGTGCTTCAGCATGTAAGAAAAGAGTGTAGTAATTAAGCAGTGCTCAGCTAAATGTCTGTGTAGCTGGAATTTGCCAGTGAGGAGAGCAGTAAAGGCAAGAGAGGCAGAACCTTTTTTAGAGGTAGGTCACGAGCGAAAAGCAGAGACTGTGTTTTAGGGAAGTGCAGCTTCCAATTGAGTATTGTGAAAATAACTGATTTTCTTATGAATATCTTGTGGGTGTTACAGTGAGCAAATAAGACAAGGCTGTAAAAATATGGGCAAGAATCTAGAATCACATCTTAAAAACTGACTTGTTCTGATGAATCTAATGCTTCTCTTGTGAACTTCCTTGACTTTGTTTTACAAAAATATATATTTAGGATTTTTTAAATGAAGCATTTGCTACAAAGCTAAACAATACCCTGCAAATGACCTCATACATATAACTGGTTGAACAGTTCAGGTTTGCAAGGAGAACAAAAGCTGCATCCAGTGGGCAGCTGTTTAAAAATGCCTTGGAGACACTTGCTTTTTTAAGCCCCAGAGTAGTACTTGTTTTCAAAGACCACATATGTAGGCTAAATGAAGACTTGGCCCAATTAGGAAACTTTTTTACCTCTCCAGAAGATATGAGCTTACCCATAGGCATTTATCGGTGTGCCCTCTGAGCCTGTTCACATTGCTGCCACCTCTGCATTCCAGAAAGCCTGGAAAGCAGCTGGGGCTGAGCCAGACTGCAGTCCCATGGAGCATGCTGTGAACAGTCAGCTGGATGAATGGATGGAAAAATTCGTCTGAATGGAAGGGCAAATTAAAATATTTAAGTGCTGAGCTCTTGAACATTAAGTAGTAGATTATTAAAAAATGCAAAAGGCAAGTGCGCTTCCTTAGCCCCTGCAGAGGAAGCAAAAAATTCAGTTCAAAAACTGTTACCTAATAGCTTCTCCTTAGGAAGCACTCAGTACTTTCATTTAGTCTTAAACCACTAAGCTGTTGTGCTTCATCAGAGGCCGTAGGCTCAGCCAGCTGCTACGGCGCAATCTCCTGGACTGAATCCCTGCAAAAGAGATTAAAAGGAGAAGCATTAGTGGATTTAAAAGTTACATTGGCCATACAGATGTAGGCACGACACTCACTCTGCTTGTGTCCCCCAGCAACTTCTTCTGTCTTCTCTGTAAGAACCACAACTCTAATTTTAGATGCTCCTTCTGGGAAGACTTTGCTACTTGTGGGCTCCCCTTGTGGGACCTGGTGCAGAATCTGTTGGTCCTTGTGACTGGCCCCTATAAGTGTCCTGTATCCCAGTTACAGGAATTGGGATGCAGGCTCTTGATGTGTCTGTTTGCACCATACAGAGAGAGCAGACACACAGCCTGCTGACTACAGACCCTTGACCAAGTGTGTCAAGTAAAAAACAACATGCATGGACCTTGTGGTTTGGTACCTTCCTGTAGCTGCATTTTTACTAAATACTGTTGTGCCATGTAGTGAGTCACCTTGAGTACTGAGAAAAAGAAAGTCTTACTCAGGAGTCTGGCTTCTCCCCTTTCTGTCTTTCACTCACAAAAGATCTTGCAGTGTGTTCCACCACACATTTTACAGCCACAGCCTTCCTGGCCCTCTGCACAGTCAGCCACTGCTTGTTGTGACTATCAGCATCTGGCCTCGCCTTCCACTGGCTGTGAAGGCTGTCTCCTGTTTGTCACCTGCCAGAAATCTATCTGTATCTGTAATTTTATGAACATTTTCAAGATAGGCCATGGAAAGAAGTGGTCAAGACTTTCCCATGCTTCTGGCTGCTTGTGTACATACACACCCCTTTGTGATGACACACAGCTTCTGGCAGCTGCTTGGGCAGTGTTGTATTTTATTTTTTTTCCTCTCATGCTTTTTAAGCTGAAACAGACCTTAATCCTGTGTATCCTAGAAACTACACTTTTCTTTTTCTGTAATGCAGAGGAAGGAAAATGACCAGGGAAAGATTCTCTTTCTGTAGTCATGCTGGCTGTAAATGTTTGAATTAAGTCATTAACAGTGTGTGTCTAGCCATATTACATAAATACATTTGAATATCAATGGTATGTACTTCTCCCTAATTTTTTTTTATGAGCCACTACTTCCCACACATAGGAATTTTTCCTGCTTTACAACCAGAGTAATCAGAAAGGATCCCTAGACTTTTTGTAAACCTTTATCCAGCATTGGTAGAGCAGATTTTGGGCAACATATTTTTGTTTAGCTCAGAAAGGTGGCTCCTGAGAGGCTTTTAGGCCTTTGGGCTGTCCAGACAACTTTGTCTCATCTGTCAGTGCCACAAAGGCAAGGAACAGCAGATACATGTATTTTTTTAATAAAGAGGAGGGCTGCTGTAGATAGCTTTGTAGCAATCTGTAGGC